CCCGATGTTTCACCTAGTAGAACTGCTCTAGAGGTAGTTTGTTCTGTCATTACAGCATTGATGACACTACCGTGATACTGGTTTGACAATCGATTTTTTGCCTTCAACCATGAATTAAATGATCTATAGCTGGAACAGTGGGCTCAGGATTGGAAACGTCAGTTGTATTTGAGCTACTTGAAGGGTTCTCCATTCACTGTGGAGGGAATTACTTCCGTCTGTTACGTATAATTATTTTCTTTCACTAAAGCGTACTGACTATGAAAGAGAAGTCTCAACACGGCGCGGTGCAAGATAGCCGGGCAGGTATCTGATTGATATGAGGCATAAAGATACATTCTGATGAATAGTAGGATACCATATGTTAAGTCTGCCGAATACGACTGTTACAAAAACTGATCATTTAACGATCGAAGGTCACAAGTTCCGAAGAAACCGTTTTGCAAGCAGGTGGAAGAAAGTGAAGCGGTTGAAGGGGTTGAGAAGTACCCCTTTTGCATCATTAGCGATTACAGTGTTTAATTAGAATTACAGTTTCAAAGATCGACGTTACTTCCAGTGCCATCGGTTATCTGTAAAGTATTTGGGCTGAGAAAGCATAGCACTTTATAGGAAATGTCCCCGGTACTATGCTGTCGAGGTTCAGGGTAACCACACGATACGGATACGATTTTCTAACGAAGGATCAATTTGAACAGCGTATAACGGTACTGGCTTAGCGTAGCATAATGAGGGCTAAATATCAAAATCAGTTTGATGACCGTTCTTTGAGACCGAGAATAATTGTTCTCTCTCGCGAATAGGAACTCTTATTTGACATGGAGGTTAAAAAAGTTTGACCAATCAGACATATTGAGCAGAAACCCTCAACTCTGTCCCGCGGACTTCTGATATGGGAAGCAAAATATGGCATACTACGAGAAGGCTACCATAAAACGCAGATGAATGTTATGGTGAAGGTGTTTGCCCGTGAAGGAATTGAAAATTTTACGATTGCTGAGGATGCAACAGATGTCAAAAACCAGAGAAATTTTGCTTATGCTCATTGTTCACCGTAAGGACGTCCACAACAAAAAATGATTAAATATTTTCCTTTCCTTCATTACTCGATTATTAATTATGGCATCAAATTTGCCATACACAGTGTGGCGGAGTTGTCTTGCATCGTCCATAGTTTAAGCTTATTGTCAATTTAGTATCATCGATCGTCGTTATATCTGGCGCGAATTCAACATGTTATGTCATTCGATAATCTGTTTTGCAATGGTCACTCATTTTTCCTGGCTAACATGTACATCTATATTTTTCGGCAGGCATTGCCTCATTTTACGGTATCAGATTTATACCTCCATAATATGCATGCGCGATTCGTTGACTACCATTAATGTTTAACTATTAATGTTTACTATATACTTGAATCTAGAAATTTACGATGCATTCTATGCGGCACTGACACTGACACTCAGTTGACTTCCCCTGAATTTGTGCTGAAGGTATGCATACCGCACACTTAATGCCATTCAGTCAGACTGAGAGCGCTTATGGTTTCGAGTCGCCAATAAACGCTACAGAAGTAAACGCTTTACTTAAATTCATTATTTTAAAAAACATTTCGCACTTCATCTTCCATAACCATTTCTCTTTTCGGGTCGCGGAGGCATACACGTCAGACAGTACTTCCAAAGTTCCCGATCCTGTGCTATAGTCTGAGCTTCCGCAGAAAACAACCGGAGTTTAGAGCATAATCGTATATTTGCAACAGATTAATCTTCCCGTCTCCTGTGCTTTGTGCCGGTTGAATAGGCAGGAAATAATTCCTTCACCTTCCTTTATACACACATTCGTACCACTTGCAGAAACCGCAGTTGTGACTACTCAATCTGAAGCAGCGGCAGCAGTACACCAAGGAGCCCTCGGATTTATGTGTTCTGGACCATGTCGAGACGCGTAAGGCCAGCGACTCGTCTAAAAAAGCCTATTTCGGCCCCTTGTGCCTCAGATCGAATATTTTCAGTCATGGTCCACGACTCATTACAGTAGGTAAGCATGGAGATGAAGATCGACTTGAACAGCGAGAGCTTAGTGTTCAGACTCAACTCTGCTTTAGTCACAATGGTTCGGGCTAGTTCAAGCGATTACAGTCCGCTGATCGATCTCTTCCTCGTATTTTCTATCACCACTAAACACGTCTCCGAGGTACTTGAACCTCTCCACCTGCTTTATTGCTTATTCGTTTATTTGAAGGGAGCAACGAGCAGAAGAGCGAGAAGGCAGTAGGCTTTTTGTTTTAGATACGTTCACGCGCATGCCGGCCACATTATGATCGGATGCGAACCTTTCCAGAGAGCGCTGTAAATCAGTTTTAGAAGATGTTTCATACTCCTGTAGTGTAAATCTATCAATTCCGAAACAATCTACAGTCGGCTTCAATTTCTATTTTAATGTCATACTTGCAACTTGCATATCAATTTCATATCAGCTGCGACATTGACATGCAATGAAGAAAACCGTTTCAGTGGTCATAAACAACGTAAGGCAATATCCAAAACGTATGCAGTACATAAGTATATGTATCAGACAGTTGTTAGTTCGCTTTGTTAATTTTTCTAGCGTTTTTTTCACTGCATAGTTTTCATCGCCACTGCTTGTTCACCACCTGCAGCAGCAGCGGTGTCTAAACTTAATCGAAACTTACGCGCCTATCGCAAACTCACTGAATGGTCTGGGTTTTCCAGAA